AATTATCATTAATGAGGAACCTGACACAGATGTTCGTTGACCAATGTCAAACCACAATTAACACGGCGAGAAGAAATTAGCAATGTGTATAAAGCATAGACATCAAAATAATATAGTATCAATGACAATGTGAACGACTGAGCATTCGGAATAGCGAACGAAGAGACAGTGGGTAAAGGAATAATTGGATTCAAGATTGAGAAAGTAAGGGGTGATTCCATCCACGCTGTTGTGAATGATTCTGAACCATTTCACGCAAAGCCTCAAACTACTGACTGGAGTTATCGCTTGGACTGCTGTTATATCCTAACGAAGAATAGTAATTGCTAGGAATTATTTATGGACTATTATTACCTATATTCCTATTGGATAATTAATAACTATATTCATATTACATTTAACCTATCGACTACTCTCATACGATTTATTATCAGTTACAATCTCTCACAATAACAGCCACTTTTGGTTTGATTGTGTATAAGTGTTATTATTTTATCTTATGGTATGTGGTCTGGTTTCCTTGTATATAAACCAAGTATGTCTGAAATATACGATCTATACAGAGGAAGCTGATATTTGCTTTCTGGACTTGACGAGTAGGGCTAGACGAGAATAACCAATAAGGACTCTACACTGCTTCTACAGATCAACGTTATTAGTTTGACACAATGTTCTAATTAGCGATTAAGTCACGTGATAATCAGCAAGGAAGAAGCCATAACAATCTCAACTATTTAGTTTGTATCTACCTAAAAGACCTAGATCAACAGTCAATGGCTTCATAGTCTGATATCATGTTTTGGTTTAGAAGCTCCAGAAAAGCTCATCAGTTACACAGAGCTAACATATACACCCCTTTCTCCATATTATTTTAGCGCTCAGTGTGATCATTAAAGCATAAACACTCTAAGGTTCTTGTTAGCGTTACTCGGGTTCAACCAAACGATATTGAACGTCCAAAATGACTAGATCGAAATATGATGAATATTTTTTTACGATTGCTTATAATAATCCGATTAAGATAATACTTTAATAATTATAATATGGTCTCAACTATTGTTTGCATATGTCAATTATTGAAAAGATCATGTTAACATTGAATAGTGTTTACCAGTTTGTGACTCACAACTGGACAACATGACAAATTAAACAGTTTTCAATGATTAATCAGAAATGTCAACTGTTTCAACACTGAATTCTTCCTCATTATTATTATTGCCATCAAGTAATATAACAATTCAGTCTCATTAAAAGAGAATTACTATTTGCACTGTTGTTATTCTGTTTTATTGTTTGTTTGTTGCATTTCACAATAATGAAGTATCTAAATGCATAAGAATAAATTAATATAGAAAAAAAAGAGAAAAACAAAAAAAAGAACGGTTGTTACCTTTTTTGTTGTCAAGAGTTAAGTTAATCATTAAATGATCTATCTCCCTCCCTCCCTCTCTCTCTCTCACACATACATATATATAATGAATGAAAGAAAAATGATAATTGCACTATGGAAAATTGAATAAGAATAATAAATAATGGAGTGAAGAAATATTGATATCAGGATAAAGAATGATGAAATAGCCCATTGTCCATGAGATAATGTATGACAATTATAGAAAGAAATAGAATAGACAATTTGAAGAGAGAATAAGACACAATAAAAATGAAAGTCAAAATGAATTTTACAATGGAATTTTTGTACATTATCAAAAGTTTCATTTTCGGATGAATTATTCAATGATGATAATATTGTTTCAACATCACGAGGTACTACTAACTAACTAATTGTGCGTTATTACTAAATATGAAGAAAATAGTAGTATATTGTTGTCATGTTGAAAATAGTACAAATTGTTGTTCGATGGAAATATACACATCTATACAAATTAAGATACACACACACATACATACATACACAACAGAAGAGAGGAAAATAGACAACTTCTCATTAGTTGACCAATTATTACATGTTGAACAAATAGACAACAACAACAACCAAAAAAAAAGAAAGAAAAATGATCACTGTCAATAGTGTAATTAAACAGATCTAGTTTAACGTTGTTTTTTGTGATGACAGAAATTGAAACAAGATCAGTCAAGGAGACAAAAAAGAACAGACAAACAAATTGTTGAGAAGGTAAAACAGAAAAAAGTGATTACGTAATGACAGGGAAAAAAGATTCACTGGATAGAGAGACAATATGCAGAATAGATAATAGCAATATGTTGTAATACAGTTGAAATGATGAAAGGGAGAAAAAAAAGATGAAATAGTGTAGGGAGATTATGTAACAAAATACATCAATTATTTATTACAAATGTAAAACTGAGGTGGATATACATAAGAGAATAAATGTTAGTAAATGATATTCTATTTGAGAAATGTACATTATGATGTGACCGTTGTTTGAAATGGATAGCATAGTAAAGTATATAACATTGTCAGATAAACATTCTTTCATTCATTCATATACATACACAATGTATAAATAAGATGATAGTAATTCAGTAGTATCCTAGATAAAATGAAATAAAATGAAAAGCTTTAGAACAAACCACCAAATGTAGATGTAGTTATATGCACAATCAATGGTAATTATACTAAAAAGATTAAAAAATTGAATTGGTGTGTGTGTGTGTGATGGTATACTCTCCAGGTGTCCAAACCAGAGCAGTTTTTGTAGGGGTGGGGCTCTCCGAGCCTTTGACCTAGATGTCCAATCCACAAAGCAGTGGAGCAACGTCAGGAGATGCAGTCCCATGGTAGCCGGTGAACAACAATAGGTTCACACCCCCATTGTTCCTTCAGGATCCTAGAGCCTATGTGAACTATTGGTTTGGCATTAATGTTTTTTAACTCTTCTGTCGGCGGACCCTCTGTACCCACCAACCCAGATAAAGCTCCGGATATTCGCTTTTCGCCATCTCAATTTTCCAAACAACACCCTCGCTGAGAGAAGGGAGTGACCAGGACTTCCCTGCCAGTGACTACATACAAACATCCGAATGACAACATTTGTAGAGCAAGAGCACGCTTTCCCTACCCTGTCATACCAGTGTATTTGAAGGTTGGATCAAATTCTGATACCCACTGAATTATGTTGACATTAAGCAAATGTTAGCAGTAAGAAAACATAAGTTAGACGCTGAAAGCATGAATCTATCAAGCATATGATATGGCATTGTGCAATATCATCAGGATTCAAAAAATGAAATTTGAATGGATGAGCACTACAGACTACTACTACTATTATAGCCCTGAACCATGTTGCGAATAATAATAATAATAATTAATCATGATGGGAACACGCATTTCTAATCTTTTTATAAATATTATTCCCACGCATATTTGTTTCAGTGTTTGATACTCCTAATGTCTATTTTGACATATTTTCGTTTCCTGGTGTTCACGGAGCATGGGTAAAGTGGATTTACAAATAATGCAGTGCTGTCCTTACAATGATAGTTTCAACACCCGCATCAAGAGGAGCTGACAAAATTGAGGGCAACCAAATGCAGATCATATTCAAAGAAACAACTTATGCTACCTGAAAATAATCATTCGATGTTTATTGAAAAGATACTATTGCCGAATTACGTCTAAATATACAGATGGGATAGAAGTAATTCAACAGTTATATGAATTTAAGTTGACTAATTCACTAGGTATTTGGATATAATGAGCCATAATCTAAGTGTAAAGATTAGTGATATTATTCGGTTGCTTAAACCGAAGTGAAGCGGGGTTCCAACCTTGGATTAAGTGACTAAAAAAATGCTATTCGTTTAGGACCCATATACGTCGATAAAGACTGATCACTTGTAATCGTTAACAATAACAACGAGCAAATAGATCTACTAACATTTAAATGACCAGTCAAATAGTGTTTGACTAGTAATTGTGTTATTTAGTGGTATACATTACGAAATATTTCCTTAGAGGAATTAAATATTTAAATGGAAAGTCAAGAAAGTAACACAAGAATACATCTCACAATGGATCTACACCATGGAATGAAGGTATTGAGGACAAGAGCTTATTTGCATATAGTTTCATCTTTGTCTACAACTTTTTTGCTTGTGAACATTTACTAACTTACACCTGTTACTCCCAATGGAGCATAGGCCACAGACCAGCATTCTCCAACCTAATCTATCCTCTGCCTTCCTTTCTAGTTCTATCCAATTGTTCTTCATTCTTCTCATATCTGTCTCCATTTCTCGACGTAATGTGTTCTTTGGTCTTCCTCTTTTCCTTTGTTTAGCCTTGAGGATTTCAAGTAAGGGCTTGCCTTGGTGACGCAGTCGAGTGCTTTCCTCAATGTGTGTCCTATCCACTTCCAGCAACTCTTCCTGATTTCTTCCTCCGCTGGAATCTGGTTTGTTCTCTCACACAGTAGGTTGTTGCTGATAATGTTTGGCCAACTAATCCAAAGTATTTTGCGTAAACAACTGTTAATAAACACTTGTATGTTCTGGATGATGGCTTTCGTAGTTCTCCAAGTTTTCGCCTCATACAGTAAAACTGCCTTGACATTTGTGTTGAAAACTCTGATTTCGATGTTGGTTGACAATTGTTTTGAGTTCCAGATGTTCTTCAGTTGTAGATATGCTGCCCTTACTTTTCCGATCCGCGCCTTCACATATGCATCAGATCTACTATGCACATCAATGATGGTGCCCAGATATGTAAATGTTTTTACATTCTCCAAAGAGTCTCCGTCAAGTGTGATTTGACGGTTACATGTTGTGTTGTATCGGAGAATCTTGCTTTTCTCTTTGTGTATGTTGAGACCTACTGCTGCGTAAACATTTACTAGCATACGCTATTCAACCAAGAAACATAAAAATCCATATAACTTGAATTACATACCCTACAGATCTTGAATATAGATTGAGAGAAAATTTAAAATCATAAAAAGATGTTCATAAATCCCTTTGTTGAAAATGTCCTACATTACAATAACTTACATGGTTCATTTATTTGAATGGTTTTTTTGTTGCTAAGATGTATAGTTTGATTGAAAGGAATCTTCATGTATAGTATTAGTATTATTACTTGGACATTTTTCATCATTAATTTTAGGATCAATACTTGTAACTTGATTTGTAGAAAAAGATAAATGTGACTGTTGAAATATCTTTGAAGGATTCGTTTTTAAATTGTCTAACATAGAATCTTGTGATGGACGTCTAGCATATTGATTAGATTGACTTTCATTCACTGATGAAATCATATTAGGAAAAAGATTATGATGAACAGAATTTGTTTGATTTATAACTCCAGTTCGACAAGTAAATATACTACTAACAGATGATCTTTGATCTTTTTTAATTCCTTTAGGCAATTGTAAAGATGAACGTGGAATTATTAAATTTTCATGTGATGTTTTAGAGTTACGAAGTTTTACTCGTTCCGACTTTGGTATAGATGATGATACTGGTGTAGATAAATTCTTTTTCTTACAAATATTTGATTCACATTTCTCCAATGTTGAAAGATTTACAACAGATTGACTTTTTGAAGCTCTTAATGCTCGTAATCGAGTAGTCATCTCTTTTGGAAGATATGATAATTCTATTGTTTGAATAAAAAAAATCAAAAATCTAATAACAAATCCTTTTGCCTATAATTTGGATCGGATAGATAGACTATTACTCACATAAACACCATAAAGAATGTTATTGTATTACAGCTATAAATATTAACAGCGATTATCACGAGTTAATGCTGAACATAAAAATGATGTAAAATACCAAGTTGGAATTATGAATTATCTATTCGCCGTTGAGTGAATGAAAGTAAACAGTGAGTGGTTGTCGTATCCAGACAAACTGACAGATTCTCAGTCACAATGTAAATCTGTATGTATGTACATCGGTCCAAGTTGCCATAGCCGATTAGCGCAGAGAGAGGTTTTCAGGTCAAACCCCTATACACTATAAAACATCACCCGCCGAGGTAGGCGGTGGTTCGACATATGTAACACATGTCCCGACAATAGATAGTCAAACAGATATCTGACGTTTTAGATATATATATTCTTAGCTTTTGTACTTACTTGACTGTTTATTCATACATGTGCTAGTCAAGTGAATCAGGTGTTCATGATGGGTGGTAGTACATTATTTGCTGGCTGAATAACTGGTATAAAGAGAGTTAATCGTGTATCCAATATAATCATCTATTGTTTATTCTAAGTATACAAGAGTTCCATTAGTGCATCAGAAGAAATTGAACGTTCTTTCATTAATGACAAAAGTGTGTATTCCATCAATAATGACGCTATAACTCTGAAATAGTGTCAAAACTAGTTATACGTATTACAAGCATCTTATATCGTACATTAACAATGACCCTGTCAAACATAAGTCAATACAAATCACGAATCATGTCTTTTCTCATTAACATAACTGTCTTCTTAATTTTGTCTCTCCTTTCTTATCAATATGATTATGTCAGTAAATTGTAGTGGTTTCTATAATTATTTTCAGAATATATTTATATTATAACAAAAATTGTGAGACTTTACGAACAAATCAAAAGGTTTAACGTATGTTTTACACCAATGTGTAGATTAAACAATAGCGAGAACTTCATGCTTTACTTTACGAACTGATTGTAGTAGGTGGTAGACAACCACTGAAAACAAAGATATGTTTGACAGCTGTTTCATCCCAGTGTATAAGATTCTAGAATTGGACATCTACAACCCCGTTATAAGTTGAGTCAAGAACCTACAGGTCTTACGGCGAACACAGTCATTACACAACTGAGCGGATATCCAGTGGTCTAAATGCTAGATGACTGTAGCTGGATACAAAATTCCTGGATTCGAACCTGTCTGATTAGGTTGAAGACGCCCATTTATGAGGATTGCTTATACTAGACCAAAACAACTGTCCAATATTTCCTTGTTTTAAATGGTTGTCTATCTAAGATCAGTTCGTTGTGTAGACCATGGAAATCAGCATCCTTCACAAACTCTATATGGTAGTGACAGAGATAAATATTTTCATGGAAAACTTTACCTTGTTCCGTAAATTGATTCAAAAAATTCGGCGCCGGTTTACCACTAGGTAAATAACCTGTTGCATCGATTGAATGACCAGGTGGTGGCAAGATGAGATCATTAAAAAAACAGCAACTCAAAATATTACAAGCAGTCATACGAGTTTTGGGACTGTAAACTAACAATTTTCCAAGTACATAGAATGCTGCTGTATTGGTACTTCGATTACGAATAAGCTGAAATATAAATAAGGATGTGAATTATAACACATGTACAGTTATCACATTACGTACCTTATATATTACTGAACTAAAAACATAGTCCTCTTTACTATCCAAGATCAATAAAATGATTTATTACGGAGAAAAAAGTTTTATCATGAATAACAAAAAGAAATTTGTTGATACAATTTGATCGAATGTACTTATTTAACCATCCTACAATCAGTTAAGTTTCATCTAGTAAGTATACTTATAAACAGAAAGGTTAATCAATATAAAAACTTGCAAAACAAAAACTTAAATTAAAGAGGAAGAAGAATGTATTTGTAAAATTTCAGCGAATGAATTTGAAATCTAACATTTCACTTGGCAATCTGATCAAAGCTTTTCCTCTTTAATGTCTCACATCAACTCGGAGCCCAAAATACAATGAAACTATTCGATCAAATTTAGACGAAAGTTCTTATTCAAAAACTGATATTAGCCAAATTATCATGAACTTATTCAACATCTGGAAATAATCAGCATTTTATTGATCTAGACCTTCCTTTATGTTAACTTTCATATGGCGGTGTTTTCAACTCAGAGGTTAAAAGTTTTGCTATTATTATTTTTTCGAATTTTTAATAAAGTTAAATAACGTTATTCATTCTAACAATGTGAGACTCCATGTTTTTCACTAGAGTAACCGATTGATGCAACACAATGAATTTTCTCAAGATACATGAGCATAGTTGGTATCCTCTCCAGAATACTGACACTATAATTACACAAAATTTTCGAATTTGCAGTCTGACATGGGCTACAAATCATATTACAAATAATTGAGATCATGAACTGATCAATGTTAGACCACCATTGAAAACCTGGAAGCACTGGACGGTTGTTTCGGACTAGTACGAGATTCCTTAATAATGTACATCTACGATCCCACACATAGAACGTGTACTCAGGATGGCCATCCAGTGCTTCCAGGATTTCAGTGGTGACTCGGTTCATGGTTTCAATGAAATTCAACAATTATCACAACCCTATACTGAAGGTCATATTGAATAATTTAAAAATATTACAGATTCCCATCGTATTATTCTAAATTATAACTGGACAATTCTATGGCCATGCCACCATATATCAGTGGATTTCGGTTTGGTGGCCTAGAGGATAAGCGTTTGCGCACACGATCGGAGTTTCAGGGCCCGATCTATGAAAGGATTGTAACAGCCCAGTTTCAAATGCTTACATACGTCAAATAAGCGGCGACATACAGTGCTTACTGGCTTTCAATGGTAGTGTAGCTAAGACTAAATAGCGATTTAAATTGTGAAAAATGAAAATAGACCGATAAACAGAAAGGATGGAATAAACAACATAAAATATATAAGTAGTGAGGCTGAAAAAGAAAAGATAAAGAGGAAACGCAATTGGTTGGTCGCTGAGAAGTGACTAATATCGCGACTGTCCCTTTAGAGCTGTCAATCAGATTATATCGACCCAGTTGCAATATGGCCACTAGTCTAACTGATTCCACATCGCCTACATTATATTATGATGCTACTTAGTTGGAGGTGGTCTACAGATATTTCTGAAAGCAGGTTACGTACTAGTTTGACGCTTGTCAACACGGAGTGTCTGTAAAACTGTGGGGGGAGGAGGACTGATGCTCTCTGAACGACGTGAACTCGCATCGCCCACTCTAACACCCTTAAAGGATAGCACCGAATTATTCAGACCTGACTGGGTTAGGTAGGCTTGGAACAGTCTCCTTAAGTTTATTTTATTTATTTATTTGAACACAAACATTGGTACAAGGGGGCATCAAATACATATACGCCACACAAAAACAATGAGGCCAGTAGCAGTCATCATTGATTTATTTGAGGGCTGTATACATCCCGGGTGTCAAAACCAAGGTAGGTGGTTTTCTTAGGGATGCACACTCGGAGTCTATGACCTGAAGGTCTGATCCACAAGGCAGTGGAGAAACGTTAGGAGATCCAGTCCCATGATAGTCTCTGACCAACAATAGGTTCATGTGTCATTTATTCCCTCAGGATCCTCGAGCCAATATGCACCATCGGTTTGGAATCAGGGTTTTCCAACTCCCCCAGGTAGTATTATATATATCCACAAACCTGGTTCAAGTCCCGGACATTCGCTTTTCGTCCTCTGAATTTCGTAAACACCTCCGTTGCGAGAAGGCAGTGAGTAGGACTTTTCTGACAGTGGTTGTATACGTGTGGCCATGTGAGAGCATTTGGAGAGGGATAGCTGACTCTCGGCCGTATCAGGACATTTGAGGGCTAGTCCTCTTAAGACTACGGTGACACTCCATTTCGATACCCAGTCGAGTACATGAGTTAGTCTGACTGATAATTCTAGGTTGCCATATTTATAGACTAAGTGGAACAAGCCATCAAACCCTGTTATAACTTTAATTCAGTTTAGTTACAACCACCTTAACTTTTGTCTATTGATCAGTCGAATTATAACCATGAAATATTAAACGTATACTGAGTATCTAAAACTACCACTTATCATCTCAATATAGTGTAAACGATGCAGAGTAATACAGAGAAGTGACAGTATTGCAATTTGATTGATAAAATTCGACTGGCAACACAGGAGAAAAATGACATTGGTCATTACTCGAAGATCGGTCAAATGTAAGTACCGCAGTCCTACAGGCTAGTCGCTTCCCGAACAGACCAGTGATGATGTCTTTGATTGTGAAGCTGGAAGACACGGGATCCAATCCGAGACATCAGTTCTCTCAATATTACAGGTACACCTTGTTGACGAGTGCCAAATAGCATGGAACGTAGGTCCGAAGTATTCTGTTAATTAACCTCCAACCATGTAACATTCATGAAAATGTGCACAACAGTTAAAATTGTTTTTCGCGGGCTTTTATGAATGCAGAATAATAAACCACAATAATGTTTATACAAGACTCTCACTTTTTCCCATGAACATCCTTGAATATTTGGAAATTTGAATTCACTATAATGAGGATTCATTTCATGGATTTGTTCACGCGTTGGAGTACCAAGAACTTTGATAATTTCAACTAATTGATCAACTCCTGATTCGCCTGGAAAAAGTGGTCGACCTAGTAAAAGCTCACCAATAACACAACCAGCTGACCACATATCTAAATAAACAGAACAAAAAGACATAAATCATTATTAGAAAGGATTTTAATCATACTGTTCTTGATATTCGTGGTTAGCATATGTGGATTATGTGGAGATTGTTTTAATATAGCCAGTCTGCCACAATTTATTATAAAACAGACGGATTTTGGATAGCAGTGGAGTCCAGGACTCACTCTTTGTTTCATTTAGGACTTGTCAGCTAGATATACTTGCATCGCAGTATTAATGTCCACAGTGAGATTCAAATCCAATACTCTTTGCTTCAAATATTCGACGCGTTATCCACTGAGCTACTAAGTCCAAGTAGTGATTTACTTGTGTGACGGGTATGATATTTACATCATGTATGTACCACGCTCATCCAGTTGACGAATCCCAAATATAACGAAACGTGCGCATTGGATTCTACTATTAACAACAATCTATCTATTCCAAAGAAAGATATTTGTTACCCGAAATTATATGGTAAAATGACTTAATTTGCCATTTAAATCGGTGTGATAAAGAATCAAAAGATTACAAACAAACAACAAACTAATTACTTGTGAAGATATAAAAGAAGAAAAGACTATATATAAATAAATAGGAACAGTAAAAGACTGACATTGTTTAGTTAAAAGATACATTTTAGGTTTCAAAGATTCTGTAGGAGCTGCAGAATGATTGTCATCGACCTCTAGCAGCAGACATGTTTGATAGTCTCGAGACACTGAGTGGCACGATAGTTGATACAGCCAAGGGATTTGTGACACACCATCAGTTCCCAATCCGATACAGCTATATTTTATCCCACGACTATATGTTTTAAAAACATAGTAATCCACTTTGTACCCTTTGGTTTAGACTTTAGTAAGTATTGTGCGTTATAGGACGATGTTCACGATCATCCCATTGAAAATGATATTCCGAGGTCGTGGAACCAACCGAATTATCACTATTATGCCCGAATAAGACCGGGACCCAGCATTATTTACATGGTGTTGCTACTAGATGTGAAAAATTCGCCAGAAACAATGATGATCGAGCATGAAGAATAGTCAAACATCCTTAACTCAGAAAGGACACGTTTCACAAGCGTACAGCAGAATCTCTGCCAAAACGAAACAGTTTTATGTGTGACAAAACACATTCTCATGGTAGCTGACGACCAGAAGTTTTTAAAAATCATAGTTTGGTAACTTGGGGGAAATAACTTCTGAAGTTAAACAAATCAAGTGAACCAGTATCAATCACTTGATTCCTTCCCTGATGAAAACCTTAGTACACATGAGTGGTTTGTAGTATTTATACCGAGATTTGCATTTAGCAAGAAACAAGAGAGCTCTCTGAAGTACAATTTTTATAGGTTCTTTTTAATACTTCAGATAAGGGACAGTAGGATACTAAAATTTATTGACAGAAATCTTATGTTGAAGTGAAACAAATAAATATGGTTACCTATTTGTACAGTATAATGAGTAGCGCCAAATATTAGCTCTGGTGCACGATAATATCTTGAACAGATATACGAAACATTTGGTTCATCAGGATTTAACATCTTAGCACTACAATACAAAATTGATTAAAGAACATGTGAGACCAAGAAAAGTGTATTAATTATCCTAAAAAAATCACTTGTTTTCATCCTACAACATAAATAAACAAATCAAAAATCAAACAAATAAATACATGCTTTGAATTAGACCCGTTATAGGTAACCCTTTCATTATTGAGTTACTGCCATATCAACATTCAAGAGAACCCAAAACTTGTATTTGAAAAAAATTGCAAACCTAAAACCTGGATAGATAAACATAACATAAACTAGAGTGTTTTTAAATATGTAACACTGACGGGTTTGATAGGAAGATATATAGTCCATATTAATACAGGTTATTTAAAGTATTAACTGACACGGCTTATCTAATCATCACGAAAAAAACTTTGGATAGGATAATATCACCTCTGACATAGTTGCCCATCAATCCGTTAAACAGAAGGGAATTTATTGAGATCATGAAACGATCAACGTTAGATCAAGATTAAAAACCTGGAAGGACTGGAAAAATGTTTCATCCTAGTATGATTTCAATAAAAACTCAACAATCTCCACAACCTTATACTGAGAAGAGAATTTATTTAAATTCATGCAACTAGGAAATAAGCTTATATTTCATAATAAATTAATATTTGATGTGATATATGGAATTCATCACTATACACCAACTTCCTTGAATATGAGAAAGCGTTTAACAGCATGGATAGAAGAACTTTGTGGAACCTTATTATACACTATGGTGTAACTGAAAAGATCGTCAACATCATACGGAATTCATACGATGGACTACACTGCAAAGTCGTGTATTGAAGACAGCTGACAGATTCATTCCAAGTAAGAACCGGGGTCAGATAAGGTTGCTTAGACTCTTCCCTTCCTTTTCTTCTTCTAATTGACTGGATTATGAAGACCTCCACATCTGACGGGAAGCACAGAGTACAACGGACAGCTTAGATGCAACTAGATCGTTTGGAATTTGCAGATGACCTGGTCCTTCTATCCCATACACACCTACAAATTCAGTTGAAGACAGCCAGTGTTGCAGCAACCTCGACTACATCAATGTGCCTCAGCCTACATATAAGAAAACCAAGATCCTAAAATATAACACGAAGAACACCAACACAATCACACTTGATGGAGAAGCTCTGGAAGAGGTGAAAACTTTCATATACCTTGACAACATCATCGATGAACAAGGAGGATCTGATGCAGATGTAAGGGAGAGATTTGGCAAAGCAAGGGCTGCATTCCTACTGTTGAAGAACATATGGAACTAAAAAAAACCACCAGACAACATCAAAGTCAGACTCTTCAAGAATCGTCAAGACATACTGTACGGAACTGAAACTTGGGGAACTACTACAACCACCATCAAAAAGGTGCAGACATTTATAAACAATTGCCTACGTAAGATACTCAATATTCATTGACCGGATACCATCAGTAACAGCCTACTGCGGGCGGCCTGCTTGAATATCTGGGCTACCTGTTCCTCCGATCTAGATATTTCATCAAGTTATCTGTTTTGTTGTTTGTTTTAGCACATCACTATGTCTATTGTGCGCACAACCTATTCAGGCGCGTTTATGAAAAGTTTACAACTTTTCGCTATACGGGATACAAAAAGGTACAATCAGCGACATCATGGTGGCCGGCAATATGCATTGAAACGAATGAACATTAATCAAATGTGGATTACCGAACTCCTAACATCTAACTGGTCATCATTCAAAATTTATCGTCACAATCGATCAAGGTATAAGAAAAGGAAACTTGTTGAAATACTTTATGCTGAGAATTCTATGTTGTACCAAAAATATAATGTTGAATAAAGCTTCTAATTAATAATAATAATAATAATAATAATAATAATAATAATAATAATAATAATAATAATAATAATAATAATAATAAACTTCCAGCTGAAAAGGAAATTAGGAAAAGATGATGGAAATGGATAGGATATACATTACGGAAATAACCAAACTGCATCACGAGGCAAGCACTAACTTTGAATTCTGGAGGGAAAAAGGAAAAGAGGAAGACCAAGGAACACATTGTGTCGGGAATCGGAAGCAGACATCAAAAGGTTGAATAGAAACTGGAAAGAATTAGAAAGGATTGTTGAGGACAGAGTTGGATGGAGAATGATGGTGGGCAGCCTATGCTCCTACACGAGGGGCAACAGGCGTAAGTGATATGGAATGGTGCCCAATACATAGAATAAAATCTGCTTGATACAAATTTATGCTTAAGTTCCATAGTCAATAATTCAGTTAGTGAATTTACTATGAATTGATCAACCTAAAACTTTGGGTGCTTCGATTAAGCTTGATGTGATGACAGATGGTGGAAATACAGATATGGGGTTAGCATTTAACTTACATGCTTGTGGAGGAGACAGCACATTCGATTTCTTGTTAAACAGCACTTTAGTGAGATATTTTCTGGCATGCTATTGTGAGTCTTGGTAAATGATGTTACATACAAAATTGTTAAATACTTTTGTTGCATTGATGATTCGATGGCATCGTTAACATTCAGTGAAAATAACGACCTTAGCTTTTACTATGACATGGTAATGGACCCTGGAAATAATGATGACCCTACTAATCTATAACACTTGTTAGTGAGGTGAGAAAGTGGCTAGCAATAGGATTTCAGAAAAGGCAGTTTCGTCTCACTAGAGTCGTCAGGTGGACGAAAAAGGATGACGCTTTAATTATTGTCTGAATAATTTCCGATAGAATATCTTTGAAACAATAGCTGGTTGACTGGATGCTTTAATTCCAACACAGGAGAATGTTCACGATAAACATTAACTAGTTCGAAGGTCTGCACAAATGTGTGATGTTTAAGGGTATCGTTACTTAATAAGCCCATTTTTAGATATGAAATATTAAACTAACTTATTGTCAAAGGCTCAAGAATTCCTACACGTTAGTAGTGATAATTTTGAGAACAATTAGATAGACAAGATAGTTGTAATTTGCTTGTACTACTTACCTCCCAAAATCGCAAATTTTCAGTAAACCTTGATCTGGATGAATTAATAGATTTTGAGGCTTTATATCTCGATGACATACACCTTGATTGTGAATGTAGGCCAATCCACGTAGAAGTTGAAAGCTGTACAACTGCATAATAATAATGATGATAACAATAAGACAGGTGATAACAGTATAGTGTTTATTAAAAATTCATCAAATATAAAATTAAACTATCTGGAAAAGTCAGTTATCATCAACGTAGAGCTTGGCACAGATAAGAGTTGTCGCAAGTTATCATACCACTTCTGTGGTAGTGCCTGTCATTGAAGGCTGTACCAAAGAACTACGTCAACCTTGTTCAGGCACTACTCAAACACTACTGGTCGAGACAGAACTTATGGTGAGCCGTTATCGCAACTGATTACTTCAAGCGGTGTTTGTCAGGATTATTTACTTTCTACAACTTCTACTTAACCTTGTCACAGACCGATGCATATATGTGCCTGGTCCTACGTTGTAGCTGACTGACTTGTCACAGACATGCTCTTATAAATAATGCTTATTGTCTGACTTTTTAAGGGTTGATGTTCGACCAGGGGATTCACCTATTCATTCAGAATACGAAGATAATATGTTTTTTTAATACACTGATAAAATGACAGGAATCTATCTGCTAATAAAAGGACAAATTTACTGTCCTACTTTGTGGGTGTGAACAATGGTCATAAAAAATAAAGGATATTTGTAGGTCACTAGTATCCAGATATCTCCGAAACATTGTTTATTTTGTTGAGCCCGTCAAGTTTATTATTTGTGATTGCTTATCCAGCCATATAAGCCTGAATTGCTGACTTTGAGGCTCCAAGTAGATCAGTTGAAGATCCATCAAATCCGAAAACGATGGCACTTTGCTAACTGTTTTGGAATGTAACATAACTAGTCGCTCCCAAAATAACAAGGCTTACCAGTTACAACAACAACCATTTTAGAGGAAGAGGTTATAAGGGCTGACCGTATGGAAAGTAGATCAACCATTCCTAATGTTGATCTAGTATTGGGCAAGTTAAGAGCGTTGACACGACCACACGGAACTGAGATGAGACACTTCCAAAAATATTAAATGCGAATAGTACTTGTTAGGATAAAGCTTTTATAGTTAAGCTCCTAGGCCGGTAGAAACAAGAGAGTAAGGTATACTCTATGTAATAACAAACCTGAATCACTTTAACAAAACTGCCAGTTAGTAGTTGGCTTCAACCTTGATAATGAGTTACTAGAAGCAATCGGGAAGTTTGGGCACTTGGAGAGCTGTGTGCTTACCGATGATCTGACAGCATAGACCGGTCTATGTATAGCAAAATACAGCAGCATTCAGAAATCTGAGTCATCCATAGGGGTTTAGTCTGGTTATAAAATATCACACATTCAACACTGATATGAATTTTTATTTTGCACTTTTGCTTTAAGAAGCCGAGGATGCTTTAAATCAGATCATCACTTACATTTGGTAACTATTATGTCAGTTATTCGGTCATAATTAAAATAGATCCTGTAACAAAGCTGAGTTACCTCAAGTTGGCATACCCGATTATCAGACCCAGAAATCAATATGAACGAAGGATGGAAGTTACGACACTATACGACTCAATTCTCAGTTTTTTCTGTTTGGTTTACCCTACCTACCTAAATATCTAAAGCATCCGATACGATTACATCCAAGTTCCTGGATTTTCTATAAAACTTATCTTCTGCTTCATCCACTATCGAGATAAGTTGAAAGTAAAATGACGAACAATGGAAAATGTAGATGAGTATTTGTGAAATTTACAAGGTGCTATAAAAACGAAAATCAAAGCGGCTTGCGAAGTCATGAGGCGTTCCACTGAACTTGTTTGTTCGTGTTTGATTAGAAAGTACAAAGGCAGTTGCTGGATCTCAGTCAGTCAGTCAGTAACAACGTAGAACTTCGTACGTACGTACATCAGTTCGAGTTGCCACACCACATTAGCACAGAGATGCACTTGTCGATTCAAATCCCGTAGTGGTAGAGGTAATAAGAGTATAAGCAGTAATCGGGAAGATTAGGCTTTGAAGATGTTATTTAAAGAGTATAATCCAGTGAAAGAAATTTGGAAAGAGGAAAAAAGGGACATGAAGAATTCAGAAGATTAGAATTTGGGAGAACACAGAGAGTGGATGCACCTGCGCCATTCCAAACGATTTTGAGCCATGTCATTCAGGGTCTCTAACCATCGGTTGCTGTCATCTCGCGGTCCCCAACCAGGAAGTCTACACCTACCAACATGACTCAGTTCACTTGTCAGTGACTTCATGGACTTGTGCCATGTTTTGGTTTGGCCACCCCTAGCTTTCTTCCAACCTACTCCTATACCACTGAACATAGCACGTCGAGGCAGTCGGTCGTTGGGCATACGTAACACGTGTCCCAGCCATCTCAACTGATGAAGTTTCACTACTTCATCAATTGATTTGCCATCCTTACCTAGTACCCGTTTCCTAACAACTGTGTTACTTACTCGATGGTCCCATGATATACGAGCAATATTTCGAAGACACCTATGATCAAATACTAGTAACCTACGAATATCCTCTACTCTTACCGGCCATGTTTCACTGCCATAAAGTAGGACGGAACGAACTGCTGCGCAGTAAACACGTCCTTTGGTTGATAGACGGATATCTCGCCTACGCCATAAATGACGCAAGTTGGTAAAAGCTAGTCGAGCCTTCTGTATCCGTGCTGAGATTTCGTCACACACTAAACCACAAGGGCTGATGAGACTTCCAAGATAAGTGAAGCGGTCGACACACTCAACTACTTCACTCCCTATCACTAGTTCGGGTGTCGATGTAACCCAATCCTGAAGCAACATTTTGCATTTCGAGGGAGAGAATCTCATCCCGAACATGCTTGCATTGTTGCTTAGAGTGGTCAGAAGACTCTGCATTTTGTCAGCGTCTTCACCAAATAAAACTATGTCATCAGCATATTCTAAGTCAACAAGTGAACCTCCTGGTAGAAGTTCAACCCCTGTATATTTAGATGAGGAGAGTGTTATCTCTAAAAGTACGTCAATGACAAAGTTGAACAAGAATGGGGAGAGTGGACAGCCCTGACGAACACCACTTGAGGTGATCAATTCTGATGACAGTTCGCCATAAGCTCTCACTCTACCAGTTGTGTTCGAGTAGAGAGCCTTTATAAGGTTAATGTACTTCTTTGGTACTCCTTTCAGTGACAAACACTGCCATAGAACCTCACGATCAATAGAGTCGAATGCCGCCTTAAGGTCGAGAAATACTACCATTGTGGGGCGTCTGAATGTGTGTCTGTGTTCTAGAACCTGACGTAGTGTGAATATCTGATCTATACAACCACGTCCAGGTCGAAAACCAGCCTGGTTTTCCCTAGTCTGCTCTTCACGAGCTTTAGTTAGGCGTCGAAGTATTATTGAGGCTAATATTTTAGACACTATATTAGTCAAACTGATTGCTGGATCTAGTAACTGCCGAACTCTACTTCAATCCATTCAAGCCAATTACAGCCATAAGCATGACGGGAGTGAAAACACTGCAAGGATAGTTTTCAAAGACGCCCTGAACGCTGAGAACAAACTAAAGAGCAGTTAAGCTGGTTTACTTCAACTAGACTGTACTATGCTGCACAGAGGGTGAATACCTACTCACTTGAAACAGAACATATTCGAATAGTTTTAGACTTTGAGGTGTCTAACAATATCGAGCTCAGAAAATTTACTTTTGATGCTTTCATAAATGAAGGTGGATACCTACCTAAACAAACGAACGAGTTGTTTGAAAAAATATGGGAGTGAGGTCATTATCGTGAGTTTTATAAGAACGATATACGTAACGCATATGGTAAATCTACAGTTTTAGTTAACCACTAATCACATCTAAATTATTTACTTTTTTCATATAAGTTAGAAGAAATTCGTGGATGGATTGTAAGGAGCAGATTGGTTTTGTATCAAATAGTGGATGCATTTACTACGTTTCTATCTTGTGCTCAAGGCTTCAAAACTATCACATCATAAGTCAACAATCACCGGGTTTAACAAACAAAACCGCAATCCACTGATCCAACAAAAGTTCTCTAGCTATTTATTTGAGAAATTTGTTAACATCTTGGTTATAAACAACAATACTTTATACACAATGCAAACACTTATTTAACTTATGTAACTTATTTACTCAGCACATGAAGTCGAATCTCAGCCACACTGTTTGTGCGAGGGTTAATGATTTTACACATAACTAAAGTGGATTATATATTATTCGAACATGTTGAAAGTCAGGTGCTCCAACCACTAAGTCATTTTTAATTTTTTTACCATTTCAAACCAGTAGTGAGGCTAAACGGGATTGTTTGATGGCGATCTTGTTATCAACGACGTACTATAAATAGCTTTTAAGTACGTGATGATGGTGTACATCTGTAGTACTGGGCGAAAACTTAATATGCAGCAAAATAAATGATACTTAGATCTCACTTATTCAGTTGGCAGTCGGCGTTAGTAAGTAAGATATGTACTTTGTACCATCGAAATCCAAAGTACACCTTGAGCGCTGGGAGGAACTTATATCTACACTTTATGGAAAGTCACCAGAAGTAATGGAGAAGTTAGAGTGTCTGAGTAGCTCTGAGTGCTGCTAGAGGTGATGTAGACGACGAGGCCAACCTATGTTTAGTGAAAGATAACTGCTTGTACTAATTCGAAACATTTCTTGTGCCGTTGTGATAAGTTTGCTAGTATAGGGTGAGTGAACACATTGTCGCCGTAAAGGGTTACACTATTAACCTGTAAAATGTGATCTTTCTGAGTCAATGATGTTCGCTGACTCTTTGTGATTAAGGTTATTTTGTTTTGTATGTTGCTACCTTTAAGAATTAATTATGTCGTATCCAGTAGTTTCAGTATTGAGATAGAACAACCCATCTAAAAACAATAACGATCACTATTTAAATGGTCAGCCTAAAACATTAGCTTGGTAGTTTGACCATGACTTAAGTATGGTTTCCGTGTGGCTTTGCACTGCAAATGTATGAGTAAAGAGGTGACATGATCCAGGAATAAGGCAGCTGTGTCCAATTAGCATACCTTGGTGCTCTGTGAATCGTTGAATTATATAACTGAGTGATTTGGGGTCAGAAATTCAGTAACTCAAAAGAAAAAATCCGTATAAAAATTCAAGAAGTCGATGTTTATCAACCAATACCCTCTTACCTTAACATATACAAGTGGAATTATCTGCCGAATACGCCAGTAGTGTTTGATAAGGCGACTCAATGTTTGAGGAATGTATTCTTGTATTAAATTTAAGTAAGTTTCATTTGGTTTCTATGGGACAATTAACAAATAAACTACTGAAACTTACTGACGATGATGTTGAATAAAAGTAATAATACAGAGAAACAATATTGCAGTGCTTAAGTTTTCGAAGTATCTGTAATTCACGGTTCTACAAAACAAATTCTGGTTAAGAAATGAAAATCACCAACTTTATACCGCTTATCTTGCAGAACCTTTTTAATTGCAACTTTGCGATCGTCAGACAAAGTAGCAATGTAAACAACACCAAAAGAACCGCTTCCAATAGCTTTTTCATCCGTATACGTGATTTGTACGGGACAAGAAGTATCACAGTTAACTGCTTCAACCCATATAGACTTGGGTTTGTCATCTGACAATCAAACGTAAAAGTCAAAATATTTATCAGAAGTACACAATCTTTACGTATAAAGCAAAACGATCAAGTAAAGTATGTCATCACTAGGAAATATTAGCATCATAACAGTTGCATCAAGCACAACAGGGATATATATATACATCAGCTAGTTTCCTTTAATCGCTTATAAGATTTTACCCCGTTTATTCTGTAGGTAAGCATGTTATTTTATCAAATGGAAAAACTACTCATCTGGCTAGTGGTTTTGTTTTTGACTCCTAATTATTCGGGGGCCTAATTCATATACGGTGTCGCGTATAGCCATCACGGTCACATTAAATCATTGCGTTCATCTATGGATTTTAACAACCACTATAACAATCTTAAATGTAAATTTGCATATATCTAATTTCTAAGCAATAAAAGCAACAGATTGGTGAATACAAACAAGTATATGCGTGGAGTTAAGCTAATTTAGTCTAGTTTAAAATAATCTATATTGGCAGGTCATTTTGTATTAGATAAGCACGTTACGATTCAACACTAGAGTCCAAAATATAATTAAAACAATTAGACGGATTCGTAGGGTTAGTACTTCTGTATTTATGACGATGCTCGATCATACAATGGACGAAAGTTAGATCCATAAACATGTGGTGGTTTACTTATGCATACGATGATACGAAATGATATTCTTTTTTTGACGACCAGGCCAGCACAACTCTAAGGACATGATAGACGAGTTCAAAGACCAAGAATAAACCTTATCCACAGGCAATCTGTGTCTTTTAATGCACAAACCAACCAGTCTTAATAAAAATAGACCCTGCAACAAATATGGGCTAGAAAAAGTTGCTATACCATACCAACATAAAATTGATAAACATAATAGAGCAGAATTAGGAGTACTGGTATGAATATTAGTGAGAAAAACTAGATATTGAGAAATATAATCAGGAGAGAAGTTACAAAAGGTGTAGAGATACTAGAACACAAGATTTAGAAAATAAAATGGACGCATCTGCATCTTTGTGGCCGATTATGAGCACAAAAGCTATGTTAATGAGAAACTGTCATAGCTTGCTACGCGGGATTTAACGTGTGTTAGCGGTTAGTGAAATGGTTCAACTACTCAATGTTTTCAGATTCTTGAATCAGAATTTTGTTTTGGTAATTTTGGTTACCAATTATTCCAATATGAAGTCAGATAAATAATAAATGAGGTTGTCAAAATATAACCATATGTTAAACTGAGTGAATGTACTACATAGCTTGATAATTTTAATTTCGATAATTTCTTATTAAATTCTCCTTGGAATGATATCACAAATCATATGAGCTTGGTGATGTACTCCCGGTCGATAACAAGCGCAAATGAAAGTATACGATTCAAGGACCCCTTCTAATTGACTTGACTTTTACCGGACAAGAGCTTGAGGACAGATACTAGCCGAGTTAGTTTTTACTGGGTACTAACTTTTGGCAAACGAAATGAGGAAAATTTGTGCTGATATAGAGTCAATATCTATTAATATAACCAAGAGTGATCAATTTCCCTCGGCCAAGTATACTACTGTGAGGTTTATTCGAGCCGGAAACCGAACATTATTGGAAGATTGCCGTCTAAATGTATCCCGAAGATACGATCATGTACTAAGGACCTACTAGTGAATCAAGCTAGTAAACATTTGTACGCTAATTATGACATTATCAGCCCTTTGGTCATATTGCCAATCATAAAATAAGTCACAGACTTGTAGTTTGGAGAAATACATGAAAGGCTATTGCGAAATAATTCGACGTTTTAAACTAACCTTGTTTTCCATCTGGGAAACAACGGATGGGATCCCTAAGTAATCATGTAATAAAAAGAGAAAAAATGAACATTAGCAACCCATTACATGTGTAATCTGAAGAAATAATGATTTTGACTTACTAGGAATTTTTGAAAGACAACTATCAATAGATTCGCTGTTCGCTTTTGCCTTCAATTCTACAGAAGTCATAACACTACGTAGTTTTGGAAACGCGCCAACATTGCCGATTCCGCCAACGCGCGGTAGACAGGATTCAAATGGTTCAAATGGTTGTGGACGGAATAGAAGAAGCTTTCGCTTAACAGGCTTCCGTGTCTAGTAGCAGGGGATCACCGAATCCTCCAGGCAGGAACCTAGGTATGTCAACAATAAAACAGGAAAAGAAATTAATAAATCATAGTGCGATACTATCCTTAGTCCTTAAGAATAGATCAAGTTGCCTCTTAAAGGACTCCTGGGGAGTCGCTTCGACTAGCACTGCCGGCAGCGAATTCCAGCATTTGAAAACTCTTAAGGAGTAGAAGTTGCATCTACAGTCCGTTCTGCTATGTTGTGTCTCCAGTTTCTGGGTGTTACCTCTTAGTTTAGTGTTGGAACTAAGCTTAAGTAGGTGTTTGAGAGGATGCCCAGAAGTGTTCAGGATACTATAAGCCATCAGAAGGTCACCTCTAAGACGTCTATACTGTAATGGGTAAAGGTTAAGTGAATGGAGGCGCTCTTCGTAAGGCTTAGATTTGAGTCCTCGAACTGATTTCGTGGCTCACCGTTGGACACGTTCCGGGGTATCCTTATCCTTTTGGAGTGAGAGAGGAAATACTATGTTTCCGTAATCTAAATGAAGACGGATAAAACTTTTAAAGATTGTATGGAATGTTCTTCCGTCAAAAATGCGCTTCAATGTTAGAAGTGAAGACAAAACCAAAGTCTTATAACCCTTTCTCGTGCATCTTTTTCAATACTATGCTTTAAATTTGCATTCTGTTTTCACATTAACTTAGTTTAACATTTTCTAAAGATGATGCGCTTTAGCATGAGATGAAGATTCAAAAATGAATTATAATGTTGATCTAATGAAAGTATAATTAACATTGTAAAGTCGACTAAGTATATTGTGGACCGGAATAACGATCAGGTTTGCCTTCAGAAATTAACCCATATCTCATACAATCAAATGCAATGTTCTTTTAGCTCACATCTAATTACCATGGATGGACTTTATTAGGCTACATCTGGTTGGCCATCCAAGTCAAACATAGGTTTGGTAACAAGAGTCGTCTAATTTCTCGTTCCCTTTAATATATTAAAACGTCAAAGCCAAGTTACGATAAGCGTGGGATTCTGTAACCTTAAAAGAGAAGCGTCGTACGTCCTAATCAACACTATCATTTTATTTAACTATTGGCAAACTTGTTTTGTCCTACAGCGACTCTAAATTAATAACTGACATTTGACAGTAATGCTGTACACATTTTTAATCTATTCGTGAAGAATATACAGACCTGTGTCCGTGTATGCATTACTAACATGCGGACATTTAAAAGATCCCAGGGGGCAGCAATATTGATTTTAGCTACAAAAAACAACACATACACTGTTGTCCGATATCTCAGAACGAAACGGATTGACGGTTTATCACATAAAGCAGTTCAGAACAACACTGATTTGAGTGGCAGTGGCAAAAACCCAGAAAACGAAACCGACTCAACGACGTTAGCTCCAACACTTAAATCACTAAGTAGATTGCAACATTCGAGAACACTAACGAATCGAATTATGCAGCGACACCAAAAGTCCAGAAGGAAAGTAAAGAAAGAATCAACCCAGTTATTGTTTCATACACATAGTTCCCTTTATTATTTTAAAGAGAGCAAGAACAAAAATTGGTGCAGTTATTGTTGCTCACAAAGACGACATAATTGACAATTCCCACTTCATTATGATTGGTCGTTAGTTAGACTGCCGGAGTTCCGAACAAGGGTTGGGTTTATTTCTTTAATGTTTTTAGGGATTACTAGTATAGGGGTTGTGGAGAATATTAGGTTTTTGATTGAGATCATGAACCGATTGATGTTAGACCATCACAATTGAAAACCTGGAAGCACTGAACGGCCGTTTCGTCCTATTGTGGGACTCCTCAGCAGTGCGCATCCACGATCCCGCGAGCGGGATTCGAACCCAGGGCCTTCGGTCTCGCGCGCGAACGCTTAACCAACTGGACCACTGAGCCGGCATCCAATAGTGACAGTATCTACCTCATTACAACGGAAGTTGGTTGCGCAATTTCGTGGATTGGTTGATGTTAGAAACTGTTACCATTGGATGCCGGCTCAGTGGTCCAGTTGGTTAAGCGTTGGCGCGCGAGACCGAAGGCCCTGGGTTTGAATCCCGCTCGCGGGATCGTGGATGCGCACTGCTGAGGAGTCCCACAATAGGATGAAACGGCTGTCCAGTGCTTCCAGGTTTTTAGGGATGCTAGGTCACCTGCAACCATTTGACAAACGTGTTACTTATGTAATTTGACTTTCTCATTTTAGCATTAAAAGCGTCCGTATGGACTTTCAGGTTGTATTTGTCAATAAAAGGACACTAATTGTCACTGATTCGTTTCCAGTTTTAATACACCGCTTTGTGACGCTTCACAAGGACATTTTTGTACTGTAAACACGCACGTATTTGTGCTTGTATTTTTGTGCTTCTGGATGCTTGCGGATAATTTTTTCTGGTTAGCGTTTAAAAAAACTATCCGCTCCATTGGGAGTAACCGGCGGAAGTAAGGATGCTTGCGGAATATACTTTTTGCTCGGTTCAAATCTGGCCTTTTCTTTCTAGCTATCAGGGCTGAGACGCGTTTTAGTAATAAGTTTTTTCTGTTGTTAGGCTACTGTCTTCTTTCTGTTTGCCAGTTTTAGGTGATATTGCAATCACTTAAAACGTAGAAAGTGTCTAGTCCTGTACCAAGACCACATAAGTTATTCTGTTTTCCAGATATACGGATCGCGTCAAGCTTTCATTTACATTTTGAACCTTGTGTAAAAATTAGAACTATTTGAATTATTATAAAAACTAGAAATTTTAAATATAATGCAATTTAAACTTAACGTATTGTATTTGGAATTCCAAGTCCGGCAGATCCCAAATACAAAATAATCATTAGTTAATACGAACACCACAGCCACAGCTTGTGTACTGAAACCACTGATATCTGGAGTTCTAATCATAGATTTTCCAACACTATCCTCCCTCACGAATAGGTAGGATTCTAATATCGCAATTTCATGACCAGTTTGATGTTCTTAATTTGCATTTTCCTCTCATATCTCACACTGATTATATGTGAGTACTTGAGGATACACACTGGCATATAATTTGGGGCATTCCATCATGTGACTGACTTGCATAAAAAGTATGATACATATTCCTCTTTTTACGTTAGAATACACAAGGCGATTGTTCCAGTTATCAGACAAATATACATTGATGTGTGTAATTAAACATATGATTCATCTTCGCTCGACTCACCTGCAAAACGATCAAGTGAAAATTATGCATCTGTCTCGTGCTAATTAGGATAATCTTGGACTCGGTTTGAATTTTGTGTCTGTGCAAACTTCTTATCTCAGAAAACTGATCTTCTGACTGCTTCGGGAAAACTTGCTATTCCCTTTGATTCATCATACCACTGACTAGCGATTCTCCTCGTTGGTTGAGAGAATAACTAACATCTGGTACAATTACATTAGAAATGTGACTAGAACTCGATGCATTCGGAACATATTTGTAACATCCACCAGTGATATCACAGAGATAAATCCATTTTTAAATAATTTCATTAAAAATGCAGGAATTGTGAGAACAACGTATATCTGGTAAAATAATATCATGAATCTGATCAGAGTATGATTCGTTTGAAACATTCAAATTAATAGGACTGGGATTACAAATTTTAGCATTACTTGCAAACTGCCCATATGTATCCGACTTTACCACATTTAAAGCATATAGAATCACGAAACACACATGAATTACATAAGCGAGATTGACCACAGGACAAACATTTACAAAACTTGAGCTCATCTTCGTGAACTGCTTTGGAAATCCTCAATGAATCGTCATTTGTATAACCTTGAGTACGCAATAGAGTGAGATGACTTGGTAATGCAGTGGAATTCTTGTTGTCCTGACGAATCATTTCATTGGATTTTCCTCCTTTACACCACTTCAGATTTGTACACTTTATATTGTCTAGTAGTAGTTCCTCGACACTTGCATAAAGGAGTGAAATATGCTTTTTTGGAAATGCCAAAGATTTTAATAGGCTTCAGGCTTCTTTTCCGATGAGTGTGCAGCGGTACATATATCTCAAAAATCCGTATCTCCCTAAGTCTTCAATATTCGATGTTGACCACATTAGTTTTAATAGACTCACCTAGCTGAAGGCTCTCGGTCATGCGCTCGCACCAAGTCACGAGTGGGAGCGCCGTGCTCAATTTCTCCTGCAACCGCCAGCTAGTTTAAATCAGTCACTTTTCGATATATTGCTAGTCTATCAAATATATTTTCAAACCTCTTTGCTTCTAACTTCTGATTTCACTGAGTGGGCACGTTTCCATCATCGAAGGTGTTACTGGTTAAAGTGTTGTCAAACTCCAAATACTTGTGGTATCTTCAAATGCGAGAACATGCGCCACAATGTCAACGTCCCCATCATCTTCCTTGATCAAAGCCCGGATCTTGAACCCTTCAAATCTACTGTTCAAAAACTATCAGTAATAACCTGCCGTGAAAAGATTTCTGGAGCTACAAATTTAAGGGATTACTTAACAGAGTTTGTACTAGTAAGTCCATCATACATTTAGTAATTAAATACTTAGAAATTAAATTAATTACTTTCCATGAAAGAAAGGCAATCCAGTCAGTCTAGGAGCGTATTTCAACCTTAACAATAGTCAAATTCATTTGTGGTGGATCTTAGTACGACAGATTACTCAAGATATAACAATACACACGGTCACTAATGAAATACCAAAATGAATTAATACTGTAAACCAAAATCTCTGTTTATGACTAGGGCGGAACGGCAATAAATAACACTTACAACTAAATGGATGCACACTGCTGAAGAGGAAGAAACGGACATTCAGTGCTGCCAGGTTTTCAATAGTAGTCTGATATCAATCGATTCATGATCT